GTTACTCTTTTCTGATCATTAAAACGCCTTCAAAATAATCCATAATCGAGTTTTGTTTTTCTGGCCGATCAGAACACAGATTCAACAATATACACATGTCTAGTTTAACAAAAAAAAAAAACTTTGTGTCCAGCCTTGAAGAAGCATATATATCATTTTACTATTTAATTTATAAATTTTATAAAGAACCATTTTAAAATTAATTAAAAATATCTTCAAGGATGGCTGGAACTTTTCGTTTAGGCTATAAATAGTGTAGGTAGATTTATCTAGTCAGGAAATATAAAAATCCACAATTTTGGGAAAATATCTTTATTTTTGTAAAATTATAAGAACAAATGGAAGTATTATTAAAAATAACATTTTAAAATATGAATTACATTGAAATGTATCTGAATAACAAGATACAGATCCCCTTAGTTGTTTAGTCACCTTCAAATAAAATAAATATGGAAAAAATATTATCCAGCAAATTTTACCAAACTCATACAGAAAGCCTATTTTATAGTTTTAATAAATAAATATACATAAATTATAGTCTACTTTAAAAATTTAATACTAGATAAATTATTGTTAAAATTATGGTTTCAGTAAAAATTCCAAATATATTTTAGAAATATAGTTTTATATCTGTTTTAGACCATTTGAAATATATATTAAAATCCAAAATCGTTAATAATTTTCAGAGAGTTATCAATTAAAGGATATAATTATTGTATATAAATTGCTAACCTCGAGAGTCCTCCAAAGGCCCTTATTTGTTCTCATTGACAGTTATTTTTTTCTTGCTCTCTTATAGTTCATTCTTTTGATATTCCAGTACTCCAAGATCAATGAGTGATAGATATAAGCCTCCAAGGAAACAACTTCCCAAAAGATCTCTGTTACCTGAGCCATCTGGAGATAGTTCAACAGATGATGAATCAAACAAAGGGGAGAAAAAATCCCCCTATAAAGCTCTTCTCATAAGAGCTCGGTCATATGCAACAAGAGACAATGAAGAAAACAAAGTTGCGAGAGAAGTCCCCTTACAAGGTCCTTTCATGAGACCTTCGGTACCTGAACTATTTAGTGATGATGATGATTCAGCAGACAGTGACTCCGCAAGTTCGGACAGTGAGTACTCAACAAGTTCAGAAGAGTTAGAGGTGACTTCAAATAACAGCAGTGATGAGGAAACCGAGAATGATCCAGTCAGTGAGTACTCAACAAGTTCAGAAGAGTTAGAAGTGACTCAAAGTAAAAAAAATGATGCCGAAAACGATCCGCCGAACAAGAAGAGAAGACTGCATAGGAAGACCTTTACCCCCACGAAGGATTAATCCCCCAGAGGCTGAACTTAACCAGACTGATGCAAAGCCGTCCTCCAGTGGGGGATCAAAAAAGGCCAGTTCTGATTAACGTGTCTGCCCCAGAAGAACCTTCATGCTTATTCTCTATTTCTTATCTTTTATTTTCTGGAATTTATTTCATAATTTGGTTTTTGTTTAAGGTTGTAATCTGCATGCTGGGAATTTCATANTCAGACCATTTGTTATTCCTTCCATTTTGGTCTTCTAAAAAGACAAGATCGACACTAACTCAATATGTGACTGAAAAAAACTCCAGTCCCTATCCAGATTTTTGGATGAACACCAATGTTTTTGAATGAAAGTCAAATTTTTTTCATAAATATATAAACCTTGGTTACATCCAGTGCATCTTTTGTTTTAATATTTTTTCCACTTTTTATCGATTAACCTAGGTATCTCGAGATCTATGGAAGAGGTTCTAATCCTCAAGGGAGGTGTAGCCTACAAATAGATTTTCTCTCCGGATATGTAAATGGCCCGTAAGCAGGGACCCATATCCCTGTAAATGTCCAGAATAATATGAATTAGTTTCACACAACATGTGAATCGAAGTTGAAACGTGTTGGTGTCCCAAACCTTTCCCTTACCACCTAACCACAAGATTCCGGGTTCTTTGATTGTTTTCCAGAAAATAAATAAATCAAAAAGATTTTCTATCTATCTATAAGTATTTGGAATAGTGAACCTAATTAAAAGAATTTATGTTGCTGATATTCTTGTGCCAGCCGCATATCGCACGTTAATCTGATAGAGCTTTACGTTTTTTCAGAAACCATATATTTTCTCGTGTGTTGAGTTAGGTTCTTTGGTTTGGTTCCCTCCATTTGACTTAATCTTAGTTCAAATGACATAGTTCAATAATGTTCATTTGTATATATACGGCTTAGTTTTGATTGTATAATTTTAATCAAATGGAGAATTTTTCTGTAGTTACTATTGACCTAAGTGAATCTCCCATAATGCTGAAAAATGGTCGGGCATTTTTCATGCATTTCCCCCAAACAGCAAACTGACTTGATGATAATGTTAGGTTACTACACAGTGCTTGACCTAAGGCTGAGACACGCTTGAAAAATGTGTCCTTGATTATTCTCGTTACCAGAATTAGAGGGTTCATTTGTACCATTTACACATTTCTAACAGAAAATTTAGCGCTTTATGCATTTTTAGTATTAATTTCACATAAATAATATANGTAACCTCAACCTAATATTTTTATCTTTCTATAAATGTTATCAATTATATTTCCTGAACTCTTTGGATTGGCTTAGCAGAACTCTCACATCTAGTCAATCGTTGTCATTTGTATTTGCGGCTTGCATTCTTGTGAGTGGTTGACAAAGGCTGGTTGTGACTACATGAGGATCAATTAATAAGGCATCATCTTCTGATTTGATTGTCTCATTAACGACCATGTTAGATAGAGCTTCCTCCATAATCTTTTCGTAACATAGAGCAAGGATATCCCCTGCTAATGATGAAAAACTAGGTGTAGAATGGGCAAGAAGTACCTCTTCAGTTTGTAATGATCTTTTCCTCGTAGAGTGACTGCATGAGCTTAACCATTAGTAGATAAAAGAAATGATGAAACTGCCTTATGATATACTCATTCTGATACTTGGACTCTAATAGAAGAACTTTGGAAGGATGATTATCTCCAGATTGAAATGTAACAGAAATAACAAGCTGGCGAATCCAATAGTGAACTTTCTGAGTGAGAAAACATAATAAGCACAATGTTACAAATCTTAATGGATGCATATAAATTTAGTGACGAAATACATCTATTTTACGAGTTATGGATACATGCACCCTCTCTCTATTAAATTCGTCCCTGGAAATAGAAGATNAGTTACCTTCTAATAAAATAAATATGGTACATATCCAGCAAATATTACCAAGCTTATATAGAAATCTTATATTCCATGTTTTAATATATAAAATATATACACCTAGAACTGGTTTAAAAATATAATACTATATACATTTATTGTCAAATTAAAATCTATGTTTTCAGTACTAATTTACAAAGATTCTATAAAAAAAAAAATTCATATATATTCTAGGCAATTTCAGGTATTCAGATCCATTGCCTCTTTTTAGATTGATATTTATCTTTTTTTTTTAATATATATCTAAATAATTATTAAGGAATAATCTAATTTAGTATTGGTAGTTTGTTTTAGTGTTATTGTTGTGTAACCAGTTGGGCAATTCAAAACATTGGTTGATTGTTAAAATCATTTTTTTTTTTGTAAAAATTAAATAACAAAACACCTGTAACATCAGAAAAAATCTCTAGGATGTACCAAAAAAACTTTGATTTGAAAATAGCATATGAGCCTGTCAAGGGACATACACAAACCCAAATTATATGTGTCAAGTGACATATACAGGCCCATGATATATGTATGAGATGGATTACAATCCCTCTACAAGGCCCATCTAACAAAGGATTCAGGCCACTTAGTAAGCTCGGTTCAACTTTACTCAGTTACAATCAGCGCGACATCTGCATTCGGCTGTGAGGTTTGACTTTACTCTACGCCACAAGTTGGTCAACAGCCTGACTATTCAGCCTAAAAAACGTAGCTCGGCCCATTAGATCAGAATACCTAGGGCGAACAGAAGAAGAGGTTTATCTATAAAAAGAGGATGAGAGCGACCAAATAGAAAAAAGATACTTGAAAACACATACAGATTGGCGGCTAGAAATTAGGGATTTACTCTATTGCTTTCCTTGCCAACACGAAGTTTTCGGCTAGTTCAGACGAACATCGGTATGTTTTCTCATGTTCTCACACTCTCTAAGCTGTTACTCTTTTCTGATCATTAAAACGCCTTCAAAATAATCCACAATCGAGTTTTGTTTTTCTGGCCGATCAGAACTCAGATTCAACAATATACACATGTCTAGTTTAACAAAAAAAAAAAACTTTGTGTCCATCCTTGAAGAAGCATATATATCATTTTACTATTTAATTTATAAATTTTATAAAGAACCATTTTAAAATTAATTAAAAATATCTTCAAGGATGGCTGGAACTTTTCGTTTAGGCTATAAATAGTGTAGGTAGATTTATCTAGTCAGGAAATATAAAAATCCACAATTTTGGGAAAATATCTTTATTTTTATAAAATTATAAGAACAAATGGAAGTATTATTAAAAATAACATTTTAAAATATGAATTACATTGAAATGTATCTGAATAACAAGATACAGATCCCCTTAGTTGTTTAGTCACCTTCAAATAAAATAAATATGGAAAAAAATATAATCCAGCAAATTTTACCAAACTCATACAGAAAGCCTATTTTATAGTTTTAATAAATAAATATACATAAATTATAGTCTACATTAAAAATTTAATACTAGATAAATTATTGTTAAAATTATGGTTTCAGTAAAAATTCCAAATATATTTTAGAAATATAGTTTTATATCTGTTTTAGACCATTTGAAATAAATATTAAAATCAAAAATCGTTAATAATTTTCAGAGAGTTATCAATTAAAGGATATCAATATTGTATATAAATTGCTAACCCCGAGAGTCCTCCAAAGGCCCTTATTTGTTCTCATTGACAGCTATATCTTTCTTGCTCTCTTATAGTTCATTCTTTTTATATTCCAGTACTCCAAGATCAATGAGTGATAGATATAAGCCTCCAAGGAAACAACTTCCCAAAAGATCTCTGTTACCTGAGCCATCTGGAGATAGTTCAACAGATGATGAATCAAACAAAGGTGAGAGAAAAGCCCCCTATAAAGCTCTTCTCATAAGAGCTCGGTCATATGCAACAAGAGACAATGAAGAAAACAAAGTTGCGAGAGAAGTCCCCTTACAAGGTCCTTTCATGAGACCTTCGGTACCTGAACTATCTAGTGATGATGATGATTCAGCAGACAGTGACTCCGCAAGTTCGGACAGTGAGTACTCAACAAGTTCAGAAGAGTTAGAGGTGACTTCAAATAACAGCAGTGATGAGGAAACCGAGAATGATCCAGTCAGTGAGTACTCAACAAGTTCAGAAGAGTTAGAAGTGACTCAAAGTAAAAAAAATGATGCCGAAAACGAGCCGCCGAACAAGAAGAGAAGACTGCATAGGAAGAGCTTTACCCCACGAAGGATTATTCCCCCAGAGGCTGAACTTAACCAGACTGATACAAAGCCGTCCTCCAGTGGGGGATCAAAAAAGGCCAGTTCTGATTAACGTGTCTGCCCCAGAAGAACCTTCATGCTTATTCTCTATTTCTTATCTTTTATTTTCTGGAATTTATTTCATAATTTGGTTTTTGTTTAAGGTTGTAATCTGCATGCTGGGAATTTCATATAATAAAGTTTTTCATTTCAACCTCAATAGTCNCTGATTAACGTGTCTGCCCCAGAAGAACCTTCATGCTTATTCTCTATTTCTTATCTTTTATTTTCTGGAATTTATTTCATAATTTGGTTTTTGTTTAAGGTTGTAATCTGCATGCTGGGAATTTCATATAATAAAGTTTTTCATTTCAACCTCAATAGTCTTGAGAAAGCTAGAAAAATATTGTTTTGGGTGTAATATCCAAACTTCAAACCATAAAGGCAGACCATTTGTTATTCCTTCCATTATGGTCTTCTAAAAAGACAAGATCGACACTAACTCAATATGTGACTGAAAAAAACTCCAGTCCCTATCCAGATTTTTGGATGAACACCAATGTTTTTAAATGAAAGTCAAATTTTTTTCATAAATATATAAACCTTGGTTACATCCAGTGCATCTTTTGTTTTAATATTTTTTTCACTTTTTATCGATTAACCTAGGTATCTCGAGATCTATGGAAGAGGTTCTAATCCTCCAGGGAGGTGTAGCCTACAAATAGATTTTCTCTCCGGATATGTAAATGGCCCGTAAGCAGGGACCCATATCCCTGTAAATGTCCAGAATAATATGAATTAGTTTCACACAACATGTGAATCGAAGTTGAAATGTGTTGGTGTCCCAAACCTTTCCCTTACCACCTAACCACAAGATTCCGGGTTCTCTGATTGTTTTCCAGAAAATAAATAAATCAAAAAGATTTTCTATCTATCTATCTATAAGTATTTGGAAGAGTGAACCTAATTAAAAGAATTTATGTTGCTGATAGTCTTGTGCCAGCCGCATATCGCACGTTAATCTGATAGAGCTTTACGTTTTTTCAGAAACCATATATTTTCTCGTGTGTTGAGTTAGGTTCTTTGGTTTGGTTCCCTCCATTTGACTTAATCTTAGTTCAAATGACATAGTTCAATAATGTTCATTTGTATATATATACGGCTTAGTTTTGATTGTATAATTTTAATCAAATGGAGAATTTTTCTGTAGTTTCTATTAACCTAAGTGAATCTCCCATAATGCTGAAAAATGGTCGGGCATTTTTCATGCATTTCCCCAAACAGCAAACTGACTTGATGATAATGTTAGGTTACTACACAGTGCTTGACCTAAGGCTGAGACACGCTTGAAAAATGTGTCCTTGATTATTCTCGTTACCAGAATTAGAGGGTTCATTTGTACCATTTACACATTTCTANCACGCTTGAAAAATGTGTCCTTGATTATTCTCGTTACCAGAATTAGAGGGTTCATTTGTACCATTTACACATTTCTAACAGAAAATTTAGCGCTTTATGCATTTTTAGTATTAATTTCACATAAATAATATATTTAGATAACTAAAAACAATCAAAGTAAAAATGTTCATAATGAAGAGTTATAATAAAGGGATGCAACCATCAAAAATAATAGTTTTAAGACATTAATGTTTCTAAAGAAGCAAAGTTACTTAGATGGAAGATCAATACATTTTTTCTACTAGTTTCATGTATTAAATTAAGTGTACTTGATATAGATTTAAGGCAATAGAGTTTGTTATAAGTTTGATGGAGATCTTAAAATAGTATAACATTTGCAGTCGAAAAAGAGCTGAATAACACATTAAGCTAGAGATTGAAATACGGCCAGCAAGTCTTATGGGTTTTGGTAACCTCAACCTAATATTATTATCTTTCTATAAATGTTATCAATTATATTTCCTGAACTCTTTGGATTGGCTTAGCAGAAATCTCACATCTAGTCAATCGTTGTCATTTGTATTTGCGGCTTGCATTCTTGTGAGTGGTTGACAAAGGCTGGTTGTGACTACATGAGGATCAATTAATAAGGCATCATCTTCTGATTTGATTGTCTCATTAACGACCATGTTAGATGGAGCTTCCTCCATAATCTTTTCGTAACATGGAGAAAGGATATCCCCTGCTAATGATGAAAAACTAGGTGTAGAATGGGCAAGAAGTACCTCTTCAGTTTGTAATGATCTTTTCCTCGTAGAGTGACTGCATGAGCTTAACCATTAGTAGATAAAAGAAATGATGAAACTGCCTTATGATATACTCATTCTGATAATTGGACTCTAATAGAAGAACTTTGGAAGGATGATTATCTCCAGATTGAAATGTAACAGAAATAACAAGCTGTCGAATACAATAGTGAACTTTCTGAGTGAGAAAACATAATAAGCACAATGTTACAAATCTTAATGGATGCATATAAATTTAGTGACGAAATACAACTATTTTACGAGTTATGGATACATGCACCCTCTCTCTATTAAATTCGTCCCTGGAAATAGAAGATACAAAATTCCTTAGATGTTTAGTTACCTTCTAATAAAATAAATATGGTACATATCCAGCAAATATTACCAAGCTTATATAGAAATCTTATATTCCATGTTTTAATATATAAAATATATACACCTAGAACTGATTTAAAAATATAATACTATATACATTTATTGTCAAATTAAAATCTATGTTTTCAGTACTAATTTACAAAGATTCTATAAAAAAAAAAATTTCATATATATTCTAGGCAATTTCAGGTATTCAGATCCATTGCCTCTTTTTAGATTGATATTTATCTTTTTTTAAAATATATATCTAAATAATTATTAAGGAATAATCTAATTTAGTATTGGTAGTTTGTTTTAGTGTTATTGTTGTGTAACCAGTTGGGCAATTCAAAACATTGGTTGATTGTTAAAATCATTTTTTTTTTTTGTAAAAATTAAATAACAAAATACCTGTAACATCAGAAAAAATCTCTAGGATGTACCAAAAAAACTTTGATTTGAAAATAGCATATGAGCCTGTCAAGGGACATACACAAACCCAAATTATATGTGTCAAGTGACATATACAGGCCCATGATATATGTATGAGATGGATTACAATCCCTCTACAAGGCCCATCTAACAAAGGATTCAGGCCACTTAGTAAGCTCGGTTCAACTTTACTCAGTTACAATCAGCGCGACATCTGCATTCGGCTGTGAGGTTTGACTTTACTCTACGCCACAAGTTGGTCAACAGCCTGACTATTCAGCCTAAAAAACGTAGCTCGGCCCATTAGATCAGAATACCTAGGGCGAACAGAAGAAGAGGTTTATCTATAAAAAGAGGATGAGAGCGACCAAATAGAAAAAAGATACTTGAAAACACACACAGATTGGCGGCTAGAAATTAGGGATTTACTCTATTGCTTTCCTTGCCAACTCGAATTTTTCGGCTAGTTCAGACGAACACTCTCTAAGCTGTTACTCTTTTCTGATCATTAAAACGCCTTCAAAATAATCCACAATCGAGTTTTGTTTTTCTGGCCGATCAGAACTCAGATTCAACAATATACACATGTCTAGTTTAACAAAAAAAAAAAACTTTGTGTCCAGCCTTGAAGAAGCATATATATCATTTTACTATTTAATTTATAAATTTTATAAAGAACCATTTTAAAATTAATTAAAAATATCTTCAAGGATGGCTGGAACTTTTCGTTTAGGCTATAAATAGTGTAGGTAGATTTATCTAGTCAGGAAATATAAAAAATCCACAATTTTGGGAAAATATCTTTATTTTTATAAAATTATAAGAACAAATGGAAGTATTATTAAAAATAACATTTTAAAATATGAATTACATTGAAATGTATCTGAATAACAAGATACAGATCCCCTTAGTTGTTTAGTCACCTTCAAATAAAATAAATATGGAAAAAGATATTATCCAGCAAATTTTACCAAACTCATACAGAAAGCCTATTTTATAGTTTTAATAAATAAATATACATAAATTATAGTCTACTTTAAAAATTTAATAATAGATAAATTATTGTTAAAATTATGGTTTCAGTAAAAATTCCAAATATATTTTAGAAATATAGTTTTATATCTGTTTTAGACCATTTGAAATAAATATTAAAATCCAAAATCGTTAATAATTTTCAGAGAGTTATCAATTAAAGGATATCAATATTGTATATAAATTGCTAACCCCGAGAGTCCTCCAAAGGCCCTTATTTGTTCTCATTGACAGTTATATCTTTCTTGCTCTCTTATAGTTCATTCTTTTGATATTCTAGTACTCCAAGATCAATGAGTGATAGATATAAGCCTCCAAGGAAACAACTTCCCAAAAGATCTCTGTTACCTGAGCCATCTGGAGATAGTTCAACAGATGATGAATCAAACAAAGGTGAGAGAAAATCCCCCTATAAAGCTCTTCTCATAAGAGCTCGGTCATATGCAACAAGAGACAATGAAGAAAACAAAGTTGCGAGAGAAGTCCCCTTACAAGGTCCTTTCATGAGACCTTCGGTACCTGAACTATCTAGTGATGATGATGATTCAGCAGACAGTGACTCCACAAGTTCGGACAGTGAGTACTCAACAAGTTCAGAAGAGTTAGAGGTGACTTCAAATAACAGCAGTGATGAGGAAACCGAGAATGATCCAGTCAGTGAGTACTCAACAAGTTCAGAAGAGTTAGAAGTGACTCAAAGTAAAAACAATGATGCCGAAAACGAGCCACCGAACAAGAAGAGAAGACTGCATAGGAAGAGCTTTACCCCACGAAGGATTATTCCCCCAGAGGCTGAACTTAACCAGACTGATACAAAGCCGTCCTCCAGTGGGGGATCATAAAAGGCCAGTTCTGATTAACGTGTCTGCCCCAGAAGAACCTTCATGCTTATTCTCTATTTCTTATCTTTTATTTTCTGGAATTTATTTCATAATTTGGTTTTTGTTTAAGGTTGTAATCTGCATGCTGGGAATTTCATATAATAAAGTTTTTCATTTCAACCTCAATAGTCTTGAGAAAGCTAGAAAAATATTGTTTTNTCAGACCATTT